GACAATTTCAGAGGATATATCATGTCTAGACCATTGTGTCCGGTATTTATGTGACCGGTTGTTTATAGTAAAACATAGCACTCAATCTGGTGATTCCACTGGTGGTCTGACCATGTAAAATGGTTAAGATTTGACAAAGTTATGAGCCCTACAAGAGAAAGCCATAAATTTAGAGGATATTATGATGTATTGTATCTAGACCATTGCAACCGGTATTTTTTGACCGGTATTTACGTGACCAGTTGCTTGTGGTAATGTAGCACTCAATCCGGTGATTCCACCGGTGGTCTGACCATGTAAAATGGTTAAGATTTGACAAAGTTATGAGCCTTACAACAAGAGAAAGTGACAATTTCAGAGGATATATATCATGTCTAGACCATTGTGACCGGTATTTATGTGACCGGTTGTTTCTAGTAACAGTACTCAATCCGGTGATTTCACCGGTGGTCTGATCATGTAAAATGGTTAATATTTGACAAAGTTATGAGTGCTACAAGAAAAAGTCACAAGTTCACTGGCAGAGGATATATGATATCTAGACCATTGTGACCGGGATTTTTCAACCGGAAGTTATGTGACCGGTTGCTTGTGGTAACATAGCACTCAATCCGGCGATTTTACCGGTGGTCTGATCATGTAAAATGGTCAAGATTTGACAAAGTCATGAGCCCTACAAGAGAAAGTCATGAATTTAGAGGATATATGATATCTACAGTATTGTGACCGGGATTTTTCAACCGGTAGTTATGTGACCAGTTGCTTGTGGTAGCATAGCACTCAATCCGGTGATTCCACCAGTGGTCTGACCATGTAAAATGGTTGATATTTGACAAAGTTATGAGCCCTACAAGAGAAAGCCATAAATTTAGAGGATATTATGATGTATTGTATCTAGACCATTGCAACCGGTATTTTTTGACCAGTAGTTATGTGACCGGTTGCTTGTGGTAACAACTATATTACTGCAAGCAACTGTTCACAAAAATACCGGTCACAATGGTCTAGATATAACATCCTCTAAATCTGTGGCTTTATCTTGTAAGGCTCATAAGTTTGTCAGATCTTGATGATTTTGCATGGTCAGACCACCGGTGGAATCACCGGATTGAGTGCTATGTTACCACAAGCAACCGGTCACATAACTACTGGTCAAAAAATACCGGTCACAATGGTCTAGATATCACATATGCTCTGACTTTGTGACTTTCTCTTGTAAGGCTCCTAACATTGTCAAATATCAACCATTTTACATGGTCAGACCACTGGTGGAATCACCGGATTGAGTGCTATGCTACCACAAGCAACTGGTCACATAACTACCGGTTGAAAAATCCCGGTCACAATACTGTAGATATCATATATCCTCTAAATTCATGACTTTCTCTTGTAGGGCTCATGACTTTGTCAAATCTTGACCATTTTACATGATCAGACCACCGGTAAAATCGCCGGATTGAGTGCTATGTTACCACAAGCAACCGGTCACATAACTTCCGGTTGAAAAATCCCGGTCACAATGGTCTAGATATCATATATCCTCTGACTTTGTGACTTTTTCTTGTAGCACTCATAACTTTGTCAAATCTTGACCATTTTACATGATCAGACCACCGGTGGAATCACCGGATTGAGTGCTATGTTACCACAAGCAACCGGTCACATAACTTCCGGTTGAAAAATCCCGGTCACAATGGTCTAGATATCATATATCCTCTGCCAGTGAACTTGTGACTTTTTCTTGTAGCACTCATAACTTTGTCAAATATTAACCATTTTACATGATCAGACCACCGGTGAAATCATCGGATTGAGTACTGTTACTAGAAACAACCGGTCACATAAATACCGGTCACAATGGTCTAGACATGATATATATCCTCTGAAATTGTCACTTTCTCTTGTTGTAAGGCTCATAACTTTGTCAAATCTTAACCATTTTACATGGTCAGACCACCGGTGGAATCACCGGATTGAGTGCTACATTACCACAAGCAACTGGTCACGTAAATACCGGTCAAAAAATACCGGTTGCAATGGTCTAGATACAATACATCATAATATCCTCTAAATTTATGGCTTTCTCTTGTAGGGCTCATAACTTTGTCAAATCTTAACCATTTTACATGGTCAGACCACCAGTGGAATCACCAGATTGAGTGCTATGTTTTACTATAAACAACCGGTCACATAAATACCGGACACAATGGTCTAGACATGATATATCCTCTGAAATTGTCACTTTCTCTTGTTGTAAGACTCATAACTTTGTCAAATCTTAACCATTTTACATGGTCAGGCCACCGGTGGAATCACCGGATTGAGTGCTATGTTACCACAAGCAACCGGTCATGTAAATACCGGTCAAAAAATACCGGTTGCAATGGTCTAGATACAATATATCATAATATCCTCTAAATTTATGGCTTTCCCTTGTAGGGCTCATAACTTTGTCAAATCTTAACCATTTTACATGATCAGACCACCGGTGGAATCGCCGGATTGAGTGCTATGTTACCACAAGCAACCGGTTACATAAATACCGGTCGTTGTTGCACCCCATAATACCGGCCCACCTGTCTCCATTGCACCCTATCATGCCGGCCCACCCATCTTCATTGCACCCCATATCACCGGCCCACTCGTCTTCATTGCACCCTATATCACCGGCCCACCCATCTCCATTGCGCCCTATAATGCCGGCCCACCCGTCTTCATTGCACCCCATATCACCGGCCCACTCATCTTCATTGCACCTCATATCACCGGCCAGCTCGTCTTCATTGCACCCCATATCACCAGCCGACTCGTCTTCATTGCACCCAATAACACTGGCCGACTCGTCCTCATTGCACCTCCTTTACCGGCCCACCCGTCTCCATTGCACCTGCTATACCGGCCCACCCGTCTCCATTGCACCTGCTATACCGGCCCACTCGTCTTAATTGCACCTTATTTACTGGCCCACCCATCTCCATTGCACCTGCTATACCGGCCCACCCGTCTCCATTGCACCTGCTATACCAGCCCATTCGTCTCAATTGCACCCTATTCTCCGGCCCCCTCATCTTCATTGCACCTTATGTACTGGCCCACTCATCTCCATTGCACCTCATTTACCGGCCCACTCATCTCCATCACACCCCAGTTCCCCGGCCCACTCGTCTATATTGCACTCCATTCCTCCGGCCCACTCATCTATCACACACTGGATTCACTACTACTATTCATAATTTCCTATATAGTACATTGCTATACTACCATCTATACTATATACACCTGGCCCATCCATTTGCCTTGGACACTCCACCCCCTCGGCCCACTCGTCTAACACGGTACAATTATTGCCATGGGCCGGCACCGGGTGGCCCGTCTCTATTGGTACATTGTCACGCCCGGCTGCCCGTCTGAGACGGGTGAATTCACTGAAGGGGCTCGGGCTTCTTTACTAGACCCGTCGTAGGGTCAGCGACGAAGACCTTAGGTTTATCTGCACGACCATCGACATAACACATCAAACCTCGAGCACCGATTGCCGTCAACGTTCGCTCCTTATAGGTGATCCAATTCGAGCCATCTTCGGCAAGCTTGGGGACGTTGAATAGGGATGAGGTGGTACCAGGGAGCGAGATATCTGTGGCCATGGCAGGGCTCATAACCTGTAGTGAGTTACAGGTACGAGCGGACGGGAGGGACACTAGTTAAAGCAATAATCTCAGTCTGTAGTCAGAACTCTTTATTACAAGTCTTGTACCTAGTTAAAGCAATACTAGAAACTCGTTAACTGATTGTATCGCGTCTGTAAAATAACGGGTACTCACATCTCAGTCTGTAGTCAGAACTGAGATGCTCGTATGGGCTAGCTCGTATCTTTATAGTACATAGGATGGAAACGAAAAATAAATCGATCGAGAAACGGAATATATGACTGGTACGAACCGACGTCAACGTGTCGTTCGTCCATCACTCCTTTTATTGCGCTCGCACTGACATCTCGGATCCTTCGGACAGCTCTACTCATCATTTGGATCCTTCGGAGTCCAACAAAGCGGCCATTGTGGTATTGGACCGTAACATCGGCTGAAAAGAAGTTATAGATAGGTGACCGCCAGGTCTTCCTGAGAGCCTTTGTATAATCGTCTAATTAGATATTTGCAAAATCGATGGAAAAAAAACACACCGAGATCTGCAGCAGGATCAGGATCAGGATCGGATGTACTTGCTGTTGTGTCATTGTCGTCACTGGTTGGGGAATTGGTATTCGATCGTGTGAGATCGATGGTGTCTGTGGATTTCGATTGAGCAGGCTGGGATGCAAATGACTGCTTGACCTTCTTCAAGGGGCGGGCCAGAGCCTTAGTACCCTTCGTGACAGCGTTTTTAAGTGACTTGGCCTTCTCGGAGATGAACGATGAGATAGACTTAGATGATGAGTGTGACTTGGTAGACGAGGCATCAGATGCCTTCTTTGGGAGCTTCAATCTGATTTTCATGAAGAGACGACTCGAAGTGGGTGGACTTAGTACTGTTCTCGAGTTTTTGCCTTGGCTTTATGGTAGTAAATTGAGCTTCTCTGTAGCAAAGTGTCAGCTCGATAAATTGTGTAACAGAATGATTCATGGGGCGCAAAAGACATGATAGAAAACAGTATAGCATTTAGTTGTGATCCTCGAGCTCTCAGAGAAAGGCGCTATGGAGAATCATAGCACGGCGTTCAGAGGCTGTCAAAGTTCCCAATTTGGTAGGTCATACCCGTCCAAACACCGCCAACCCGTGGTAAAGGGTCGCGGTGTGCTCAAGGGTATGACTATCCTACACCGTACCCGTACCCTCCAAACCCGTCAGCATAGAACCGCGGTGTTACCCGTACCCGTGCGTTTCCCTAGTCAATATTGCAGTCTTCATTGGGTTCAATGAGTTGCAGTTCCTACACTTTGCGCATATCATCCAACATCTCCATATTGTGCTCAGTCGTGATCAACTATCCATCATCAGCACCTTCAGGTCTCCAAAGGCATCCTCCTCGATATATATTCATCGAATATCGAATAGTCTCGTTTCCCCGACCAGTTGAAATCTATTAGCTTGAATCCTAAGCCCCCATCCTGCTTGATCATAATACCCGCGTTGCGAATATCTCCATAGACGTAGCCTTCGCTGTGAGGCCAAGAGATGTCTGTCTTGATGTGGTCATAATATGTATAGGGAGCAGGGAAGTTGCTAAGGCGGCAATGTGTGTAGAGGAGGGAAGTCACAGCAGTAATCGTCCCCAATCAGTTCCATAACGACCATGTACCATCCGCCTGCTAGAACTTGGAAGCCCTTCCGACGCAAAGGCTTTGGAAGCACACGGTTCATGTGCGTCCTTCGAGTAGTTACGAACGAACATGATGCAAATCCTCTCGCCATTGGCGAGGAAGAGCGGGGTGATATCTATGGTAGACTCACGTAAAATAATGTATCGACGACATGCCGATGCGTGTATACTAGTAAGGATACGGGAAATCGATGTTTGGAACAGGAGAAGTCGGAGACATGGTAGGGGATTCCTGATAGCATAACTCCAGAGAGTGAACAGCTCTCCTTAAGGCACCAAAGTAACTGTCGCACGCATTGTAGCGTCGTTTGGATGCCAAAAGAGAGGAAGAGCGGTCAAAAGCAGCACCTGTTCAACGCTGTAATCAGTATAGGAAGCTCGCTGTGCGACACAATTAATGGACTTGCCGAAGACAGTAATCAGTAGACATAATTTGAGCCGCTGAAGATAGTCTTACAGCCCGTCGTTTAGTCTGTGCTTCCATGATTGACCACGTTCGACGCCACTGGCGACGCGCAAATGCCGTTCCGTCGGAGCTCAGGGGTGGTTGAACTTTGGGGACTGGGATGGTGGTAAAAGCTGGCGCATGGTTTCTGCTTCAGTCGAGCGACTCGAGTCGGGTAGCACACCGTGCTGAACTGGACGCTTCAAGCGAAAAATATCGATGTTGCTATAAATGGCAAGGCCACAGGAGTCAAACTTAGGACAACTTGACCACCACAACTCGACGATTTCCATCGTGCCCACACTACATAAATCAATTTATAGTCTCGCTAGAATTGAGCCCAGCTCCGAGCGAATGCACATCACTGAGTACAATGCCCGTCACACGGAATGCAACCAAGAAACGTAAATCGGAACCCTCCTCAAGTCAAAACTCCAAGAAGTTCCAGAAGCGCAGCAAGGTGAAACCTGCTGAAGACGTACATGATGAACAAGTAGCTGTATTAGCGGATGGTGCCCACGAGATTTCAAAACTAGCTGATGCACAGACCCCTATACCGCCGGTACCGGTGGCGGCCACGGCAGCGCTTCCTTTGATTCCCTTGACATCTTCATCACCTCCTTCCATGGTACCCAAAACAAAGCCTTTGAAAGGTCGTAAGAGATTCAATGCTGATCTTTGCGAGCTGCACACAACCTGCCCCTCTGACCTTGATAGGGGAATGTGGTCTGCACAAAGTAAGTTCGCCGTGGCGCCTCCGACCATCGCCCCCACTAATCATTCTTAGGTTTTAGAGGAGGTGACGATGAAGGGTCAGTAGAGTTTGATCTAGTAGATTCTAGAGATCAGACAAGGATAGTGGTGCATCTACTGTGTTCCGGTCGGTCATCGACAAGAAGGGCAGTTTCATCAATGCTAATCATTATGTAGACACTTCCGAGTACCCCAACACTCACTCATTCTTCTGTCACTCTCCGGAACCTGGGAGTTATGGAGAGCAGGTCAAGGAAATTTGTGACGGGGTACTGAACCACAATTCCAGTACGATACACGAAGTAGCGAAGCATTTCTTGCTTAATATTTCTGGTGACGATGACGGCGACGATATACATGACGATATCAGCATAGATGAGAGCTTTAGTGCGTTTGTTAGACCAGAAATATCTCGCTCAGCCCTGCGCAGGTGTGCCAATTTCTACTAGATAACTATCACACTTACATCGTCATAGGGACTTCGAAGGCGCACATGCCGCCGGTTATACCCCAGGAGCCATTTGGAGCGGTGGCAGCGAGTTCTACTTGACGATATCTGTGCCTGTGGTGGAGTTGACTGATAAAATTCCCGCTCACGTTCTAATGTCTTGGGATAGCCAATTCCTACTTCCTCGCCAAAATCTCGTACTAGGTTATCTCTGGATTCTGGGGTGTCTATCCACCTCTTCGGAGCGATGGGACACTCACCTCTGCTGCGGTCCATTCTTGCACCTCGTTGAAGTTTTACGTTGGCCTTTCTCGACAGTACAAACCGTCAAGGGAACATGTCACTACTTCTCTCCGCCAATACGGCCTCCAGTTGGACCAGCAGGATAGGTGTCGAAGATGGCATGGTCGAAGACGTCATCGACGTTGACAAGGAACCCGAAACGGGATCCGCCCAGGATGACGGCACCTTTGACAAGCTCAGCTTGAGTAGCTCGCTTGAATCATTACTTGACGAGCACTTCCTTCAAGTCCTCCGGGTTCGAATACAGTTCAAACTTGGATGGGCCTGCGGCTGAAGAACTCCACTGGAGATCGCAGGAAACTTCAGAGATCGCCTGCAGATCTTGTGAAGGAAATGCAGGAGGTGCGTCTTATATCAATATAACTATCATTTATTTACCCTTGTTTGATTGCTAGGAACTTCGTCAAGCTGAGGAGGAGGAGCAACGTCTAGCTGGCTCTCGCTACTTGCCGCATGATCCCTTGGAAAAACAAGATGATCACATCAACTTGCTCGAGACTTCATTTGCGTACCTTCTACGTCGACTCGCGGTCAGTATTGAGATGGTCATCATGACTTGCGCTAATTTATTTTTTATCAACAGCTATGCAGTCGTTATTGTGTCGTCTGTCACAAGAAACTCGATACCGGCTTCGAGGCACTAAAACCTTATGTTTGCAATTCTGATTTGTGTGCGTACCAGTATTATAGCCTCAACTTTGGGCCCTCTCTAGAGGTTAGTGACATTCGCTCCATATCTCATTAGCATCTACTTATCGACCCTTCCAGTATGATATCTGCAAGAATACTGAGATGGTAGACCTACTGGTCTCTCTCGCTTATGTTGCTGCTGCAGAAAAAAATCTTGATGATCCTCTTCCGCGTGGCTTAGCATTGAAGGTTCCCGACCCCGTCCCTGGAAAGCCTATGCGTGACTTCGACACCTTGAATATCGGCGAAATGCGCAAGACAATCACACAACTCATCGACACACTGCCGCCGGTTCGAATATCTCTTATTGTAGTTGGCGCTAGTACTCACATCGATGCAGATTCCGGACATCAAGAAATACCTTGAGAAGAAAGTTACTGTAGGAACCAAGCAAGCCGAAGTTGAAAGACATGGACCCCTAATATCTTGCCTGCCGCATGGTCCATCTTGCGCTGGTACGTTGCATGCGTGTGAGTCATTGATACAAATTATTCAATTCATCCCCACTAGGTGTGTTGCCTCCTGCACAGCACATCTGCAAGAGTTAACTGAAGAGGAGGATCAAGTGCAGAACATAGGTATGCACAGCTCGCTCTCTTCCCGTTCATCTGTCTAATCGGTGACGGTATAGGCCCCCAGTGGCGACAGTTCCGCTTCATGGTCGGCGCCCCTGATAAAGAGGCGAAGTTTAAACATGCCTTGGAGCAAGAAACACATGGGGATTCCAATGCAAAGAAGTACCCCACTCTCTTTGTATGTCTCTTGGTACCTTCGTCAGTTGAAAAGTTTTTGATGCAACTGTAATAGGCTTTCCACGGGTCCCCTCTCCAGAACTGGCATTCGGTAAGCCACTTGAGGAATCTTCAAACTATATCACTGAAACGTTTGACAGATCATACGCCACGGACTGTGGTATAAGACAATTGCACACGGCCGGGCATATGGAGATGGCAAGTAGACTGATTTCATAACCGTGAATACTCATTTTATTCCGTTCAGGTGTCTACTTCGCCAAGGACGGCTCGACTTCGATGGGCGGCTATTCCCCGGGCAGCTCACAACATTGGAATAATAGTGCGATCATCCCTTCGGCCTGCGTCGCTCTCGCCGAGATTATTAATCTCCCGACAAAGTTTACCTCACACGACCCGTATTACGTGGTCAAGCAAACTGACTGGATTATGTGGTAAGCATGATACTTCAGCTTCATCGTAAAGAGCTGACAGTATTGCTTGTAGTCGATACTTGCTAGTCAACACCTTCGAAACCAAGGACCACTTCTCTAATCAATATGGATTTCATACCATCTCCTCCCCCATCGCGTCCACAAAGCGAAAGGTTCCAAATGTTCCTTTTATAAAACACGATCCAAGTCGGCGTCCCTTCCTCTCAGGTACCCAGGTCGAGATCCCACAGCCTTCTTACAAACTCGAGAAACTTCTCGTACTGTGCCAGAATGCATACGTCCCACCTGACCTCGACGAGGACGACATAGCTGTGTTTAACGCACCCGATGAACTAGAGGTAGCGAAGTCGCAGACCACCGCACCGCCCGCCAATGGAAAGAAGCCACAGCAGGATTGGGTACACGACGCGAAATGGGTGGAGAAGAACATGGATCTTCTGTTACCTCCGCCTTCGGATTCGACCCCGGTAGCGACGATGGCATTGCAGAAAGAATTCAGAGCAGTGATGAAAGAACAGGCGGGCGCGGACGCACTTGCTACCTTGGGATGGTACATGCCACCAGAGTTCAACGGAGAGAACTTGTTCCAGTGGGTCGTGGAGATGTATTCGTTTGATCCTGCTCTGCCTATTGCGAAGGATATGAAGTCAAAGTGAGTTTCAGCTGTGCGTTTACTTATGATTTAATTTATGCTGATGGATCATTCGTCTTTTATAAGGGGTGTGAATTCTCTTGTGTTCGAGATACGCTTCCCACCCATGTTCCCTCATTCTCCTCCGTTCTTTAGACTGGTGATGCCTCGGTTTCTTCCTTTCATGCAGGTATGAGGTGAAATGATTCAAATGCTAGGTGTAGCTGACTTTGGTATTTAGGGCGGAGGGGGTCATGTCACTGCTGGTGAGTATATGGCTAAAGATGTATTGTTGCACAGTGGTTGATTGATACATGTAGGGGGTTCTATCTGCATGGATCTTCTAACTTCAGCTGGTGAGTTGCGAGTCTCACTTCGGTCTTGATAGCATGTACTGATGTGTATTCAGGATGGCTTCCAAGTTATAAGTCCGTATCTCGCGAAATGTCATTCACCTTGTTCTGACACTTTCATAGCATCGCATCCGTGCTCCTACAAATCAGGCTCGCCATCTCGAGCACCGACCCCAAACCTGCGCGACTAGCCCACAATTGGGATCAGTATGTTTTCTCGTCTGATAGACAGGGGCATCCGAGTTCTGACTTTTTAAAGACCGTATTATCCAGAGGAAGCGTTGCAGGGATATACAAGAGCGGCTGCTATTCACGGTTGGAAGGTACGTTCGTTTTTTGTTCTGTTTGATGATTTTTGACGCTGGTGTGTTCAGGTCACAAATCCGGGGGAAATGGAAAGACTTGTCCGGGGTTGAGTGAAGTGAGCGCACATCTCGTGGTGACCTGGGGTCCCTTTCAAAGATTTTGGTGGATTTGAATCTTGAATGTTGCTTCGCCCTGTTTTTGTCTGAGGAATGGAAGTACGCATATTCCCTGACTCGGTTCAGCTGTGTTCGCCACGAATATTGTCAACCCTCACCAACTGTCGTCTTTTGGTCGTCTTATCCTCAATCGGATCAACGAAGGTACTCCACTGTGTATGGAATGTGAATCCGAACGCAGGTGATTGCATACACGAATCATATCAAATCCAAGAAACAAAACCCCATTACAAACGTCGATGTATTATTACTGGTAGTCAGCTATATTGACATGTTCCAAGCGTACGGCAAATGAGCGTCGAGATGGTCAAGCATGTTCGAGCTTTGGCTTAACCGAAGGTCTTTGTTTCCCGTCAGGCTCCTCTCCGTCCTCCTGCTCTTCGACTTTGCGTTTCATTGCACCTGCGATGGATGAACCACTGGGTTGAGATTGGACGAGAATATCTTTCTCCTTCATCGTCCTCTCCACTTCCTTAGTTTCAATGTTCATGCCCAGCCTACTCCTTTCTGCCTCACTCAACCCTTCGCGACGACCCTCGTCCACTTGCATTTTCCCGATATAGGTCAAGTATTGGGGGCAGCAACCTGACCAACCCGCTTCATAAACGAACTCTATGAACGGATGACCATTATCGTCCTGAACTTCGAGGGCAGTAATTTCATGCATGCCAGTATCCGAATCGTCGGCATCCGATTCTTCGTCGAAGTCTTCGTATAGCGTTGACTTGAGAAGAGCCCAAGAGTTCGGAATTTCAACGCTATTCTTGTCCTTTGTGATATGGTGCCTTATGGAGAGCCCCTTGAAGTGGCCAAAAATACAGCCGAAGGACCCAGAGCCATGGATGTTATCAAGAGCGCCCAGCTTAGAGTCCCCTTCACAAGTCAGCGTGAGCCAGCCGTCATATTTGTCGGGGTTCAACTCCTCGTAGAGCTGATCGCCTTCCCAGACAAAGTAATATTTGCCGAGAAGGGTCTTGGCAGATATGGGATGCAAGGCTGTTTGCTATGTAGATTTGAAGTGATGTCATAAATTTTCTAGACGTTGAAGTTGGTTGTGATGAGACTCACCGCACCATCATATACGCGTCCTTCTTTGGATGACCAGAATTTGGGTCGTTCAATGTCAATATCCCAGTGGCCGTTCATGGTCGTAATGTGAGCAACGCACGAAGGTGACTGCGAAGGGCAAACGAGAACGAGAGACTAGGTAATAGGAGTCAGTAAAGATCGAGTAAAGCAACGAGTGTAAGTATCTCACTTCAGCTTAGTGAAAAAAGACTAAGGTCGAACGACGCGAGTACCGTTTACTATATAGCAGCGCTGTTGCAAGCGGTGATGTAAAAGTGGCCGAATATGCAATTGTACGTGTGCGTCGGATCTCCTATAGGAACTCAACTTAGCAAGACTTACGTCGAAACATCCAATACCAAAAATCTTGGACTCCCCAAGTGCTTACACGTATCATGTCTGTGCACCTTGAGGAACTGTTGTTGTCGTCTAACGCTTTCAGGAGCAGAGACAGTCGGAAAAGCTTGTAGCTCACTAGTACGTGCAGCGCCGCTGTCCAACCAGAAATATCACTTGAACAGTCACGTTACCACTGACCGTCTTGTTGGTTCGCAGATCTATGTGGATCAGCCAGCTGCTTGGTGTCAAACATCGACGCTCGTTTAAATTTTTACTATACAGTGCTATATCTTTGAATCATGCCGGTGATCTTGCCAGGACTCGGACATTATCATGGTATCGAAAACGCCTGATTAAATCGACAGAATATACCTTCAGTCTTCTAGCGGACTCATACACCTGAATGACTGTGATATTCGTTACCGTAGATGATACTCGCTGGCCTCAATCTAGCAAGTTTCATCACAGGGATCTTAGATGGAATCTAGGATACATAGTAGGCATGATTCCACCTACATTGCCTTCGTTGTGATAGGATCCATCGCAGACACGTCTGCCGCAGCCTTGGATTGGGAATTATCCCTATGATACTATGCTCACATCATCGTCATCCGCTGCTTCTCGAACCATTCCCAAAAAGCCGGAGATAACTTCCCTTTGTTTGTCGTCTTTATCCTCAACCAGATCAACACAGGTACTACGCTGTGCATCGATGTTATAGATATTTGCAGCCGAAGGGGCGTCGAGATGGTTAAGCATGTTCGAGCTTCAGCTTAACCGAAGGTTTTTGTTTTCCGTCAGGCCCCTCCCCGTCCTCATCGTGACCTTCGGCTTTGCGTAACGTGCGTTTTATTGCGCCTGCGATGGATGAACCACTGGGTTGAGATTGGACAGCCAGCTTCATGTCCATGCCCAGCCTACTCCTTTCTGTGCCACTCAAGCCTTCGCGACGACCCTCGTCCACCTGCTTTTTCCCAATATAGACCAAATACAGGGGGGGGCAACCCGAGCAACCCGCTTCATAAACGAACTTTACGAACGGATGACCATTATCGTCCTGAACTTCGAGGGCATTAATCTCATGCATGCCATCGTCCGAATCGTCTTCTTGAACTTTTCGCAGCCTGAGTCGTCGTCTAGCGTCGACTTGAGAAGAGCCCAAAAGCTCAGGATTACAGCGCTATCCTTATCCTCTGGATCACGATGCCTTACGGAGAGCCCCTCGAAGGTGCCAGTAACACAACCGAAGGACGCAGAGCCATGGATATTTTTAAGAATGTCCCTTCACAAGTCAGCGAGAGCCAGCCGTCATATTCGACAGGGTCAAACCCTCAGAGAACATAATGTACTCCCAGACAAGTAATATTTCCCGCACAAGCTTTTTGCAGATACGGGATGCAAGGCTGTTTGCTGGGTCCGAAGTGATGTCGTAAATTTTCTAGACCTTGAAGTTAGGTGTGATGGGACTTACTGCACGCATCTATTATGCGTCCTTCCTCGGATGACCAGAATTTGGGTTGTTCAATGCCAGTGTATGACACGGTCACAATGTGAGCAACGAATGGAGGCGACTGCGAATGACAAACGAGAGACTCAGTCTTAGTGGGAAAAGACTGAGGTCAACGACCCGAGTACCGTTGACTGTATACTAGTGCTGCAAGCGGTGATGTAAAAAGTAATGCAAATTGGGATCCTAGTGATTAATACATAGTCAAACCGAGTACCCGATACCAAAAATCTTGAATATCGATTTCCCCAAGTGCTCACAGGTATCATGCCCAGTGCACTTTGAATCATGGGTGATCTTATCAGAACGTTGTATCGGAAGTCGTGCGTTTGATTAAATCGACCGAATACGCTCAATCTCATGATAGGATGCACCTGAATGACTGTGATAGTCGTTTGCGATATCTCGCTGGCGGACGTTAATCTGGAGTTTTACTACAGGGATCGTGGATGGAATCTGGGACGCATAAGCATGGTACTTCCTACATCGCCTTTGTTATGATAAGATGGATCGCAGACACGTAGCAGTATTCTGGACTGCAGCCTCTGATTGCGAATTATCCCATGCTCTCATCATCGCCATCCACTTCTCGAACCATTCCCAGAAAGGAGCTGATACCTTCCCTCTGTTCCCGTACATTTCCTTCCAAAGATCATCCAAAAAGCCCTGCAGTTTCGAAATAATCATCATGAAGGCGGCGCGCGGTTCTCGTTGTTTCCGTTTCTCGTCAAATAACAATTGTTCAACTGTTGAGCGAAGAGTGCCGAGGGACCTTTCCACTGCACTGCTGGGCATTAGGACGATCATCAACATTTTATAGGGAGAGTACGTACTTTGGGTTGCTTGTTTGCAAAACTCGTAATGCGTCACTGATCATCTTGATGTCTTCGACGAGAACATTGTATGTGTGG